ACTATTAATATCGTGACTTCATTTTAAAGCTTGTCTCATATTCCATCGGCCCTTTCTGGTTTATTTTTTAGTTAATATCATCGACATTTCACTGAAACAGATTATGACGCCTTGCCTGGCCGCAAGACGAAGATCCCTAGTGAGAGTATGTAAGGAATGCTAGGAAAATTTCCTACCATTTCTCTGCGGTACTTACAGTAGAAGCCCCGTGCGTCCCGTCATGAGTTTAGTACAAAACCAAATCAACTGCGAATTACTGTCCACGCTCAAGTGAAAACCGCCTTTAGCATGATTTTCTTTCAACACAGCAGCACTGAGAGTTTGTGGAATTCTATATAAAAGCATCCTTCACTACTATCTCAAGGCTTAAGTTTTTTGAACATCCAACGTTTTCCCGCAGAGAAATGTAAAGGCGATTAAGGCTTCCTTATTTTGCCGAGCAACTTTCTTATTTTAAGCCGCAGGTGACTGGAACTGTGCTTATTTAAGAAGCATGAATGATTTTCTTTATTCAGCCCTACGCTATATGGAACCCAGACTTCCGGCACACGCGCACAAGATATCCAACTCTTGTGGGACATTTGGGTGAGTTCACTTTTTGAAGCGTGATGTAATCACCTTATTTATGTTGAGTTTAGCAATAGACAGGAGTTTAAAGTCACCTAATGAAAGTTTAAAAAGTGAAGGCGTCGAAAGTACCCTCATAATCTTTGATTACTACTTGTTGTAGCGTGATGTAATTATCATAGTTGCTTTAAAAAAAGCATGGTGAAACATTCAGTATTTGCTTCTTTAGAATAAGCGTAGCAGCCTTGGATCAAACAACAACAATTTCAACTCTGAATACATGAAAGGGCGTGGAATGATCGATGATTAGTAGTGACAACAAATTTAATCCTGATGGACAGTCGAACCGCCCGTAAGCAACCACCCAAAATGTCAAGCCTAGGTGGTCGCATATACGTGAGGTGGTCCTTTACCAGAACTTAGACCACGTCACCCTGTAAGGGTGAGACCATATTGGGTCAAAATTTTGCCTCGCTAGTATATGGTAATTTTGTGACATTTACGGTCGTCTCTTTTAAGACTAATTGAGTACAGTGTATGTGCATATTTTCTTTAAATTGTTAAATGTTTTATTCATGCAAAAAGTCAATTTTGAGAAAAAAAAATCCGGTACTACCCAGAAACGCAATGATGTCATAACCCCTCATTATCCAATTTTCACTCCAATATCTGTGAAGCGGTCGCTTACGAGAGGTTAGTGGTCGCAATCGCTTCCGAGAGGTGGTCGCTTACAAAAGGTTCCAAATATAATGATTTGACTGGGAAACTTTTGGTATTTTGGAAAACTGGTCGGTGAGTAGAGGTGGTCGCTTATGAGAGGTTGTCGCAACCGGAGGTTCGACTGTATTAAATACTATTTGTGTGACGCCGATCTAAAAACTAAAATTTTATACGAAATGTTGACTCTTCTATTGGATGTTGTTGTTGTTACTTAGCCTGCAGAACAGGCGGGTTAGCGGAGCAGACCGCGAAGCGTGATACACGGTCGTGCGTGGAGCCCGAGTGGCAAAAATTTTTTTTCAACTCGCGCTTCGCGCAAGTGGCAGCGCTCTGCGCTCATGTATCGCGTTTCCTGCCTCGCTAATCCGCCTGTTCTGCGGGCTAGTTGCATTGTTACTAGCCTTTTGCCATCCAGAAATTTTGCAGTAGTTGAAAGCCAATATCTCATTCAATAAGTTACTAAGTTTCACTAACTTCTTGAATATTTGAAGTCGATTTGTTTTTAACCTGATGTCTTCTCTACATGACTCTACGCAAATTAATATGTATTCTAATGAACCAAGATATTAACAATGAAGTCGCAAAGACTTCCCCATAAAATGGTTGCCACCAGTTGTCTGCATCTTGTCTGCATAACGTTGACAAAATATTGTGGAGGGGTGGGGTGGTTACCAGTAAATTAATATTCAAAGGTGGGGAAGAGAAAGTCCTAATTGCCTCATGATACCATAGGGAACCTTTCCGGCCCAAGGTGTCTCACTCACTAACCATTTCAAAACCGCCTTATCTATCATCTTGCAATAAAAATTAACAGTAATTAAATTTCAACAGATTTGACTAATTTCTCAAGTGGACCTTTATCACACGTTTCACCACACGAAGAAAGAGGTGTGTCGCATCTTACTGTAGCTGTTCGCGTAGTACTCCTCACACATCTATTGAGCATTTATTCTGAGTTCTAAGAATCGTTGTTTTAAAAAAGGATCAGAAATTGGTGGTACATTTTGCAGTCTCTGTTTATAGTTGACTATTTTAAAAAACAGTTTTTTATACTCCATAGAATTATAAAGAGATAAAAAAGTAGAATGAAAATTTTTGAATTTCAAATTCTAAAGGCCACGTAATAAATCAAACACGAGAAACCGGGTTTTCATCACCTTTCTAAACATCGAGAATATAGTTGAGAATACGACGCCCAGCGGAGTATTTTTGAAGCTTTTTGAGACCTGTGTTTAATCGCAGACTTCTAACCAACAGTCATCCTTTATATTTACGTAAATCATGTCTTTGTTCACAGAAGGCCCGCCCACTATCCATTATAGTCTCCAGTCCACATCGCGCTTCAGCTACAGAGACCCATCCCAGTACACCTTGGGAGGAGGGAAGAAGTGGCCATCCCATCATTCTTATCGACCTGAGAGGGACCGGCCAGCTCTTGGAATCAGTGAGTAAAAACAAAAAAAGCTTAAACGAGCCTTTTACAAGTTGAGTTTTTTCTTCAATTCAATATGTGTCCTACCGCAAGACCTTTCATATGGAAATGAGTTTTGTTTGTTTTATACCAAACTGGTTTAGACGTTTCAACTGTCTTTAAATCAGTCATTTCCAAAGGTGGTTGCGCACTGCGTTGGTTATTTCTTTGGTCACGAGACATCAACCAAATTCAAATCGATCGCACGCGGAAGCGCCATTTCTTAGTTGCTGATTGGCTCATTTTTATCATCAATGAGAGTACAGACGGATAAAATTTTAATTTATGCAAACTTTCAAGTTCAACTTTCAGCTGTCAGATTGTCAACTTTTTAACCAATGAGATTTTATGAACTTTTTTAAGTAGCCAATCAAAAATCGAGAAAAGCTATTGACAATGTTCGCGTCATTGTGAATGAAATTCACTCATCTTTGTTTACGGCAAGTTTACGGCGTCTTTTCCCCTCATTTACATTGCCGGTATTTGACCATTTTGGGGTCTTGTTATTGTAAAAAGTTTACTGCGGAACCACTGACAATGTTATGACGAAATTTACCATCAATAAGAGGACAGACGCATAAGAAACTGACGTCAATTTGTTAATTGGTTTATGTCTCGTGACCAAAGAAATAACCAATAGGAACCCGTGTTAGATCCAACTCAAGAATATGGTTTTTAGCCATGAAGAACCGAAACATAGATAGATCGATAGCTGAAGATTTTCTCTACGCATTTCTGTGAATTGACGTATTTTCCTTCCACCGTGAAAAAATACAGGATAGAAAGTTTCCTCGTACATAACACTTCGTTTTTCCCAAGCTAAATTTCATCACATCTATCCTAAAGTGGACATCCTCGTCTGAGATTCCACCGAAAAAAATCTCTCGCTAATTACACAACACTGTAGGTATCAGTGTAGGGTCTGTTAATTTCCACTCCTCGGTTTTATCAAGTGAAACAATCAAAACTCGAAGCAAACATTTGTACATATAATTCCGCTGGCGCAAAGCGCGGGAAAACGCGTGCGCGCGCGTCACGCCGTCTTCTGATTGGTTGAGAAAATGGCACGTTCCTTTTTGAACCAATCACCAAGAGAAGAAATGCAAAGCCAAGGCAAAAGGAAGTTACTTTCGCTGCTCAAATTAAACCCATTTGCTGGACATCCACAAATCTGACTGGTTCTCCCATTGGTGTCTATAAATAACAGTGACAGTATGAGGTAGAGATTTCCACAAGGTGATAGACAGTTGATAGGGCAGAAGGCTGAATCGACTATAGACGCTTGTCAATTCATTTTGAAGTCGCATGGCCTTAAAATTCCTTTCTTTAGCCTTTAATACCAGGAATTGAATTATCCAGTAATACTTCTAAACTTTCCTCGAAACATTAGAGAAATGAGAAAACATGCCAATATTGGGCGACCGCCACCTGGTCTATTTTTGGTTACTTCCTGAGTAATATTTGTTCTTATATATACTTCTCAATTTATGTTTTTGATTGGTAGTTCCACCAGGCCTCCCCCGTTTATCAGAGGAAAGGAATGTAATCAACGTACAGCAGTGCAGTGACAAGGTACGTTTACAAACTGACTTAAAAATTCTCATTACTGTTAACCATACGTTTCAATCAGGTGACTATTCGAGCTGTCACGCAACGTTTTTTCTCTGGCACTGCATTACTGCGTGATCTGAGGACACAAGTGAATAGTGTGCTTAGATGTGAGTAGTGTCCTTGCTTGCTTGTAGGGTCAGGTGAATGTTTAAGGCCAGTGATTGGAGGAGAGAATATCGTGTTGAAGAATCGATAACTCATCGGAAACGACGGGCTGACATTCCTTTTCTAATCAGAGAGCAACTGGCAAACGAGAAAAATTGCCTCCCATTTTGTTTCATTTCCTCTAGTCCTTAATTAATTCAATCCAGGACAAAGATAGAAAAAATTCTATTCACAGCAAATACATATATTCGCACTTAAGTGTATAAAACAGTGAAAGAAAGACGACAAAAGTTTAATTTTCGCAAACATCATCCTCAAGTTTTCTGATGACCACCATTTGGCACGAAAATTCATGCAGAAATTTGGTTGGAAAAGCTAAGAGTTTACAAAACGCCTGAAACCCTGGCTTATTTTCGAAGTCAAATGAACCTAACCTACTATATTGTTAGTTTTGAACAATGAAAACTCTCACTCCATTTTTAACTTTGTCTTCACCACATGAAGTATTTAAACCAATCGCATCTGCGAAAAATATTTGATGGACTGTAATAAACTTTACTGTCCTTTTCTGTTTTCCAGGAATCAGAGAGATGCAGCTGGAGCAATGTGGCACTGAGAGAAGTATGGCGGTCCACAGGACACCCAAACATGACTTGCAATCCAGAAAATTACCACAGGAATCAGTCCAAAGATTGAAATAATTACGATAATCCTCAATCATAAAATTACTGGTTATTTTTTAATAAAAGCAATAAAGCACTTTATTTTGATATTTGAACTGCGCTTGTTTTGTAATGTTTGCAATGTTTAATCCCCTTTTTGGTGCATGTCAAAGGTCTTTCAAGAATTGCCTGAAAGCTAATTTCTTATGAACTTCGTGTTCAAAGCAGATTCTGGGGAAATGAATTATTGACAATGATAATGTTCCATGTAAAGAAGTTCCCTAACAGTGAATCATTCAATTTCTCCTAACTAAGTTGAACAAAACTTGCTGAAAACTGTAGGGAGTATCTGTATTTTGAGCCTTAAACTAACAGCTTAAGCACACATGTATCCACTGTCTGGGAAATGACAAAGATAATCTTCATTGTAAAATTTCTTGGCAAATTTGGTTTCACAAGTATTAATCCACGCGTGAACCATCACCACATGCTTCTCTTGGTTCATCTGTACATAATCATCTCAAAAATAAAACCGCCAAGCAATGTGTCAATGATGCTGGCTTGCAGGTCTTCTAAACAACAACACATGTGGCTCTGTGAAGATGAAACAAAAGGAATTATAAGACCATCTAGGTGTTTATCAGTAGGACAGCAACTGGTTTTCACAGGCGGACAAAACTCTTTGAACTGAAATTCTTTATAAGACTTTCCTCTAGATGGTCAAATCAGGTGGGCAAAATCATCCTCACAGCTGGTCAATTTGCCCGTGCCTGGGCCAGATAGAAACTCCTGAGACCATCTCCTAAAAATTAGCTGTCCAAATTGTAGACCTATGCAGCTCTCTGATATCACAACTCCGATTAAAAAAAATAGCGGGTTTTTAACTGTTATCGACTTACTCAACTCTTTATTGACCTTGAAGTAATATATCAAACACGAAAGACCGTGTTTGACCACATTTCCAAAAACAGTCAAGAGAGTTGAAAATGCAGTGTGTAGCTCAGTATTTTTGACGAACTTCCAGGTGTTTGGAAATGTGGTCAAATACTGTGTTGAGTGTTTGACATATCTTCCCAATCGAAACTAAAACTAAGGAGAGAAGAGAGACGTCAAATCATAAAACAAAGTAATGGTCATGATTCCCTTTGTTCAAATTTGATGAACTATTAATGAGTTTGAGAAGATCTTACCAGGTTCATGAATCAAATAGTGAGTCCAGCCTGGAGACTGTTGTACCCCAAGGTTACGCCACTCACTTTCTGTCATCAAGTGGGTCCTGGGAACTAGTTCTGCTAAATCTTTGGGAAGAATCACATGCCTGGAGCAAGTAAAAGTAGCGACAAATGCAAAAACATATATATAATCAGTGCTGTTAGACTGGCATGACACAAGGACCTTTGACTTTTTCTTGCCTCTTAGAAAGTGTATGTCTGTGTGATCTTGTACAATTTTTGTCAGCTGTAGTTTGTTGTTAAAAGGTTCTGCAATTCTAGCATGCAAAGAAAGTTGTGTCAGATAGCCTGGAGCTGATCAACTTCACCGTGTGGGTAGCTGATTCCATCCTTCACTTATCCAAGCCATCGAGAAAATTCAAATTAAAGAAGAACTTTAAAAGACCAAATTTACTGTTTTAGTGAGTATTTTGAGGGGTAGTGGCTACTACATTCTAGTTACAGTTTGCTCAAAAGGGCAAGCGGTAAAACTGATTTTCTTTGCAATCTGAATTCTGGCTTCAGCATTGTTCAATTATATTTGTGCAAATTTTGCAATGTTGCTTCCTCGTATGAACCAAGGTCTTTTTTGACAGCTGGGCAGGGCAAGACAACCACGCAATTTGTAGTGCTTGACATTGTTACTACGACTCAACAAGAATTTTTGAGAGAGATCAGATTCTGCAAATATACTTATTACACAGCTTTTCTTATATGGCTAGTCACTTTCTATCCTGGCCTTCTAAACAACAACAACAACAACAAAAACAGTGGCAACAACTTTATTAACGTGTCTAGGCTGAAACCCTCTCCTAATTGGGACTATTCACAAGTTCTAAAGAAGACAGAATCATAGAACGTGTTGGTTGATCTAAATTCAGTCGGACTAACTCAGTAAAGTCAAACGTCGAACTTTTCATAAACTTAATTCGCTCATTTTAGTTCGTCTCATGTGAAGTTCGACGTTTGGCCTGAGAGCTCCCGAGTTTATTACTTTGTATTCAAATCCAAGTTGTCATCAACTACGAACGATGACAAAAACATCTAGGGAATAAACTCTAGCAGATTGTAATGACAACTCTATTCTCATATAGCGTCCCTATTCGAAATTCGAAACTGAGAAGAACAATCTACTCATGAATTGAGGATCGAACAACCTTACCTGTATTCGTAGTGATCGTCTGAGTACTTGTCAGAGTAGCATATTTGCTTAACCGGCATTTCCTTGATTATCTTCGAAGCTGACTGCTAAAAAGAAGAAGAAACAATTTCTGCAACCACTTGACAGCCACTTCGCTTTCTTTCAAATTCTGTTGTTTTCAGTTGAAAATGGCGGTCGCACAGACACGACAAGCGAGGTTCCCAAGCCGCGTGGTGAGAGTTCAGCGTTCGATCGTAGTTACCACAATCTTTTTGGCGAGTTTTGTCGCATTTTCAATCGAAAATAGGTTGTAATGAAATTTTAAAACTTCTCAAAACGGTATGATTTCCAAAAACGCATCAAAATGACCCTTCCAATTAGTTTTCTCACATTAATTAGTAGCTGACTACTTTACTCAGCATACAAATTCTCTACATTTGAATGTGGCGGGAAATTCGAGTGGGAACCGGGAAACGTCGCGACTTGAAATTGAAAGAAATGAGAAAATGACATTGTTCATTTCTCGGCATGACTACACATCATTACCGAGGCCACAAATAGCACAAAAGAATGTATTTGATGTTAATTTATAAAAAGAAAACGTTTGCGCCGCCTAAAATTTATTAAGAGAGAAAAAAAGCGAAGTCTTGTTCTAAATATGCTTGATTTCCATTGATCGCTAGGCCGCCATTTGGAGACCGCAGCCGTGGGTCAAAATGCCAGCTAAATTGTTACAGCAGAAATTCAGGTGAGCCATGCCAAAAGTTATTTGCTATGATTTCTCTATTTCCCAGAAGCTATTTTATAATTACCATATGTATTATTAAATGGCATATAAGCTCAAATCAAATCGATGTATGCCATTTGGGATTTGGAGCTAGGTTTTGTTGTCGGAGTGATGGATCTTCATGTTGATACGTGCTGCTTATGACAAAAA